TTATATCAAAAAAAGCAGGAGGTAAACACATCTCCAGTTGGTTTTGTGTCTCCACCACAAATTCATGTAGGTCACTCAGCTCTTCCTTGCCAATCGTCTTCTGTGAGATCTTCGAAAAGAAGTAGCACATGCGGGTGATGGCCATTTTCAAGAACTCTGGCTTTATAGCCCTGATTGCAATAGGTAGAAACACTGTCAGCATCACATGGCAATTGTGAGCCTTGTAGTGTGTTATTGACAAGTCCTTCATCGACACTAGCTTCTTCACATTTGCTGAAAACCCAGTTGGGACTTTGATCCCCCTTAGGAAAGTGCATATAGCTCTCTTCTCGTCTGGTGTTAGGTTGAAGCACGCTGCGGGCAGAGTGTATTTTCCATTAGCCTCAGGTACCGGGTGAAGCTGTGGCATCATGTTTAGCTGCACCATGTCTTTCCGTGCTTTCAGACCATCCTTTGACTTGCCTGTGTCCATCAAGGTAGCAATGAGACTCTCAAAGACATTCTTCTGCACGTGCATAGCATCAATCAATGGCATGGGGGACCTCCAAGTCTGGCCAATAAGGCAGATACTGAAAGAAGATCGATTGTTTCTTGAAAGGTACGCCTTCGATAGGAGGTGTGCTTCTATCTCTATTCGTCCCATCCGAATTCTTCTTTCCATAGACAACGCGTATGTTTTTCACCATTCTGTACACATGTTCTCCGTTATGACGTCTCTCCGGAGGGGGTTCAATCTCTGGGGCGTTGTCATAAAATCTAAAGAACAATTTGCTGCGGTACTTGTGACTTGTCTTTAAGAAGCGTCGGTTCCTTAGGTAAACTATCTTCTTGGATGCATCCAGGTAAACCCATGTAGTACCATCCAAGCAAGCCAAGCATCCCGTCTTCCCTTTGATCTGTCCAGACAAAGCAAACAGCGCGGGATAATCATTGGTAGTAACAAATATTATTGCTCTACATATGAAGTCCTCCTTTCGGAACGCATCATACATCTGCTCCCCATGCCTCCATAGTCTCTTCATTTCTTGCATCAAGGGCTCGAGGAACACGTCTATATCAATGCCTGGTTGTTTAGGGCCAGAAATAAGAATAGTGAGGAGAATGTACTTTCTCTTCTGACACAACCATGTTGGGATGTTGTACATGGTCAAGATCACTGGCCATGTGCTGTGGTTGCTCATCCTCTCATTGAAGGGATTCATTCCATCGGTGCTCAGGCCAAACCGTACATTCCTTAGGTCATCGCTGAATTCTTTGTGCTTCTCATCAAACCTTTGCCACTGACTACAATCAGCCGGGTGTGCAATCTTATCATCATCCACCTTGCGCTCATCATCCCACCATGTCATGAGTGCGGCTTCTTTAGGGTTTAGGAACATACGTCTCAAGCGGTCGGTCACTGGCAGGTACCACATTACCGTAGGTGAATTCTTCTCTGCTTTGCATCGTTGCCTAATGGAGTGTCCTCTGAAATGAGATTCTTGTACCACTTTTTTGTACCCTTCTTATTCCTCTTTTTCCCCGTGGATGGTTCGTCCCTCACCGTAAAGGTCATTGTTCTTGTACCGGCCGGCCCCACACCGGGACATTTATCCAATGACTTGAACGTTTCACCACGAAAAAAGTATACAATGGTTGGGGCATGCATGTATTTTTTCAACCCCATTGTCAATGGACTTATGATCTTTTTGCTTGGTATGTGTTGGCGGGATCGAGTTTGGTTGTGGCGGCACCCATGTCGAGATGCAATAGATCATTGAAACTACAGTCTGACCAGCCGTACTTAGCCTTCAGGATGAGCAACTCAAGCACGAAACGTAGCAATGTCCAATGTGTCGGACAACCCTTTTCAACACCATACACAGTCTCCTTCGATGCTTTTGTCACTCTTTCCAAATTTTCTAGACCTTTCGGGCTATTTAGTAAAATCTCTAGTCCAAGGGTTCAAATCATGTCATCTAAATCATCTTCAACTCCGACACGTGCTCCACCATCATTATTGGCACCACCTTTGTCGTTACCATCCCAACCACCAGCATCACCACCTTGTTCATTGCCAAACTCGAAATCCATTTGTACATTAAGCTCGGCTGAATATTGGGATAGGGATTCTATGGTTTCATCGTCGTATTCCTCCTCATCCTCGTCGTTAACAATAACCGTTTCACCATGATGAATCCACACTGTGTAGTCCTCAATAAATCATCGTATAATCAAATGTGATCTGATGATAATCATATCTGTCCATGCCATACGGTTCTTACAATCTTTACAGGGGCAAATAATTGTATCCTTATTCTCTTTCAATATCGTTGCATGCTTCGTTGCGGCTTCAATAAATTTATCCACCTCTTCACGGAAACCTGCCTTGAACCTTAACGAACCATATATCCAAGAGTTCCTATACTCCATCTTTTACAACAACAACAAAACAAACATTAAAGGACTACTTATTCAGATATATATAAAAATTAATCAAAGTAATAATTATTTGAGAATAATTGTATATACCTCAGATATATATGAATATAAATCTAATATAATTACATGAAGCATACAAACACACCATGGTAGAGGAAAATTAATTAATGGCCCATTTATCCATAAATAATTAAAATACATATTTATTGATTACAATAAATAATTTCAAAGACAACAATTAGCAATAATTATACTTTACCCAATATCTTTCGTACAAACCCTAGTCCAATTTTATCAAACATAAATTTATAAAAACAAAATTAATAAAAAAACCAAACTCTAGATCTAGATCACATGCACATGAAACATCCATAAAACTAACTAATGGTTCACTAAAATCAAGAAACATGGACCAAATAAGGGTATGGTCTTGTTCCCCTCCCTAATTTACCCTAGTACATTTAAAAGTTGGGTCTAATTTGCTCATAAATAGCTCAAGCACCATAGAAGAGAGAGAAAAACAAAACTCTAATTATTCACTAATCAACCATTAAAACTTCAAAAAAAGTGTGGAATAGTATTTTCTTATCTTCTATAACCTCTCCACCAAAGGATTTGAGACCAAAACCTTTCCCCCTTAGTAGAGCAATTTTTAGGAGGTGCCCAAGGCCTCCCCATCTTTCTTTCATGAGTTGGAGTGAGTGACCCGAGAAGGAAGAAGGTGCTGCCTCAGATTTATATGGGGGCATTTGTAGGGGCGGCTGGTGATTGAGCCGCCCCTAGAAATAGGAGCTATAAATACAGTGTCATTTTTAGGGGCGGATCAATCACCAGCCGCTCTTACAAATATAATTTTTAGGGGCGGCTGGTGATTGAGCCGCCCCTATAAATCAGACCATATTTGTAGGGGCGGCTCGTAACACTAGCCGCCCCTGCTGTTCTATTTATAGGGGCGGCTGGTGTCTAGGCACCCGAGCACGCCACTGTAGGGGCGGCTCCATTACCAGCCGCCCCTATAAAAAAAATAATCTGTTGCTAAAAATCATTTTTTACGTAGTAAATTAGGGGACCCATGACAAGGAGACCGTGATACAGGAGCGAGATTCAATGGGCGAATTGACCTGGCGCTGGAGGAATCGATCACGCACTGAACACTGACACCTGGTGATGGAGTGAGATTCAATGAATAAGCCTACGGTATGTTTAGCGTAAACCGTACATCTATCTTGCACTGATACTAACATAGTCTTCGAATGGACCAAAATAAGATTCCACTAAACCAACGTCACCTAGGAGTTTTATCTAGTGCGTCCAAAATAATATCTGAGCCTATGGTACGTTCGACGCAAACCGTATCTATGTCGTGTCAAGATTAGCACTAACTTAAAAAAAAAGCGAAACGAGCTTGCATTTGAGTTTCGTCGTCGAGGAATAGCCGTTTGTTGCTGTTGTAGATGTACTTATAATAATAAGGTAGGCGTAGGCGTATCTATATGACTATACGGCAGGCTGAAGCGAAACTGCTGGCTCAAACTTGTACTGCTCCTTTGTACACCGTCATCGTCATCATGTGTTCCAGGCCCCCAGTTGCCCGGATAATATAATCTAGATAGTGACCCCATATTATAAATTTACCACTGGAGACGGTAGTACACGCTACCAGCGGTCGTAAACTGTAGCCGCATAAATACACACGTGACGGGCATCATCATTACATCAGTACGCATTCTACGTAAGCAGCCTGTGGTGCTACGTGTAGAAGCAGCAAGGGCACGCAACGTAACGGACTCCGGCGATCGATCGAGCGCACCAGAAACAGGCCAACGGGCGCTACAGAGCCTTCACGGGCCCTCTCTATACCTCGCCGGCCGCTCACGGGACAGCTTCCGCCCAACGACCGCTAGGCGCTAGCTCCACGTATAGCCGCGCTCCCGTGGAACGGCCCGAGGGCTAGCTAAGCCAGGGTAGGGGAGGAATACGCCCGCGCGCCACCCGTACGCCTGGCCCACCACTGGTCGACGCCGCCATCATTTGCCCTCACAAATCAAATCCGTCCGTGCTTTTCTGTTTAGATGTCAATTACGCGTATCCCATGCATGCATTACACCGTCGTACAGTCCTGTTTTCTAGGAGTAGTTGCGCTGCTGTTTAAACGTCGCTTAGCAAATTAGTACGCCCTGCATGAATGCGAGAGTGCTAACTTATTGTTGAATCGTGACTCCTATATGCGAAATTGTCCTGTTAATTCGTCCCAATTACGGTAATATGATAATAAACTTATAAATGCCTGCATTTTTTAGGCCAAAACAGCGCAAAAAATTGATTTAAAGGACTTGAGATGAAATTGATGGGACGGGCCCACGGAACACCGAGTCCACCAACGTTCACAACGACGAAGCTCCCACAGCGCCATAAAACAGAGCGGCTGCCGCCCGCGACACGCTCCGCCTCCGCCTCCCTCCACTCCCTCCTCGCCACTACAACCACCACCACCTCGGCACCTCTGCTCCCGCTCTGCTGCGCCTAACGGGTCGGAGGAGGCGGGGACGGCCCCACCGCCCCCGAGCTCCCAACCGCCAATGGACGCCGCCGGGCCGCCATCGGCCGCCGCTTCCGACTCTGGCGGCGCAGCAGCCCAGGCCGACGGCGGCGGCTCCAGCTCCAAGACCTCCTCCCTGCTCGGCATGCCGGTTCCCGTGGCGGTGGCGGCCGCCGCCGCACTCGTCGCCCTGCTCGTCCTCTCCACGGTGGTCGCCGCCGTCCTCTTCGCGCGCAGGCGGGGCGCCAGGCCGCCCTCGCTGTCGCGCGTCGAGCACGCGCCGTCCTCCGCCTCCGGCTCCTCCCGCGCCGCGTCGTCCGCGCGCAAGGAGACGGTCGGCGGCGCGGACCAGGGCGCCGGGGCGGGCGCCACCGCCACCGCCACCTCCTCTGGCGTGGCCAGCTCCTCCGCGGCCGCGAGCTCCCTCGAGTCGCCGGTGAAGAGGAAGGCGGAGGCGGTGGCGGTCAGGGCCGTCGGCGGATGCGGGGCCGCGGCGGGGGTGGAGATGGAGATGGGGTGGGGGAGGTGGTACGACCTCACGGAGCTGGAGGTCGCCACGGGCGGGTTCTGCCCGGAGAACGTGGTCGGGGAGGGAGGCTACGGCACGGTGTACCGCGGCATCCTTGCCAGCGGCGAGGTGGTCGCGGTCAAGGACCTGTTTGATCACAAGTGAGTGTCCTGTTCCTCACTGTCCCATTTCCTTTTGGTACTGCTGGTATCTTTCTTTTCTATCCCAGAAGATCATGGTAAAAGCATCGAACTCACTCAGGCGTACGCTTTCAGAATAAAAAAAAATGCTAATTACTTGAGCATCTACTAATTACTGAATCAACGTGTGTAAATTAAATTAACCGCCCTAGTACACAGTACAATTATGTTCCCTCGTAGTGCCTGAATGGGTACAGTACAGGTTCGTAGTGCTACTCCTTGGGGCCTAAAGATTTGGACAAGGCCCAGTATACGTTTGATGCTTTCCTAGACTGAATGCGTTTCTTGGTCATTGGTCACATTACCCCAGGGGTGGTTGTAGCTTTGCTGTTGATGTGACTTCAAGATAATCTTTTACTATCCTTCTTCAAAAAATAATCTTTTACTATCACGGTCATATAAAAAAACTTGTAAAACATGTTTTTATTTACCATGTTCGCTTAAGCTGAAATTCAGCTTATGCTGAAATGTTGTGAGAGCGAAACACTTTTCCATGGCTGAAAAATAGCTCAAACGAACAGATAAATTAGCTTAAAAGCAATGCTTCTGACTTTTGTTACCAATGTGAGTTTTCAGTTATGACAGGTGAGTTGCATTAAATCAATTGACTGCTCAGCAACTAACCATTCGTGATAGCAGCATTTTTTTCCCTGATTCGAAGTGCACTCTTTGAATTTTTAGTTCTCCACAAACAAGGAGAAAAAGGGTTAATAACTGGAGAATTCTTTTGGTCTTTGAACCCAAAAAGACAAAAAAAAAGGTTTGATCATTGGTATCTCTATTGAACTTTAAAGTTAGTAGTGGGGTTCACAATAATCTTCACAAGTCACCGAAGATCAGAATTTGGCTGGAGAGAAAATCATAGACATAGCAGCCGTGTCCATTGATCCTCACTGTAGTGTGTGGCACGATTGTAGTATATGCTGTATGCATGCCCACAATGTCCATATACTAAAGTCAATGATTTACAAAAAAAAAACATATATTTTTATTTTTCAAGGCTACGTATGATTGTGATATTAGTAGGTGGGTCTTTTTGTGCTTTTGTGTGATGGCCCGTATATGTCCATCTACTTGTTGGTTGAGCTTCGTCGGTAGTCATATGGGCCACCGATTAAATCCTTTCTTTCAAGAAAAGATAAAGCAGGGGGAAGGCAAAGCGACGACCAAACTTTCCTTTTCAGCTTCGTAATAGGCATATATATCCAACTATAAAATATGCAGTGCCATGAACTTTGAAGCTGTGTTAGCTTTCAAGGGAATCAAATGCATGCACGTGGGTTCCTGATAGATTGCCATAGAAGCAACAGTTATTGCTGTTTCTTACCTCAACCATACCGTGCTACGACATTTAGGGTAAAGCTCGAGAGATAAAATGGACAGTGGCTACAAGTTTACTGTATGTTCTGACGATAGCTTCACTAGTTAGCATGTTGATTAAGATGATAATTTGCTTTAGGGGTCAGGCCGAGAAGGAATTCAAGGTGGAGGTTGAAGCCATCGGCAAAGTGAGGCACAAGCACCTTGTCGGGCTCATCGGGTACTGCGCAGAAGGCCCTAAACGGTGAGCACCCCCACTTGTGAATTCACCTGAATAACTGTCGGCCACTGGACTGACAAATGTTTGCTGATAGTCTGATTGATACTCACTGCTGGCAATGCCATAAATTTGCGATCACAGGATGCTCCTTTACGAGTTCGTCGAAAACGGCAACTTGGAGCAGTGGCTGCACGGCGACGTCGGGCCGGTCAGCCCTTTGACGTGGGAGATTCGGATGAAGATCGCCGTCGGAACGGCCAAAGGGTATGTTCATGTTCTGCTGACAGAGTGACAGTTTACTGATAGGGGTACTTGGTAAGTTGGTATTCTGCTTGCTAATGTTGCTCATGTGCCACCGAATCGAATCGGATGTATGCAGCATAGCGTACTTGCACGAAGGCCTGGAACCGAAGGTGGTGCACCGCGACATCAAGTCGAGCAACATCCTGCTGGACAAGAAATGGAACCCCAAGGTGTCGGACTTCGGCATGGCCAAGGTGCTGGGGTCCGGGTCCAGCTACGTGACGACCCGGGTGATGGGCACGTTCGGGTACGTGGCCCCCGAGTACGCGTCGACGGGCATGCTGAACGAGAGCAGCGACATCTACAGCTTCGGCGTGCTGCTGATGGAGCTCATCTCCGGGCGCAGCCCCGTGGACTACAACCGGCCCGCCGGCGAGGTGAACCTGGTGGAGTGGTTCAGGGGCATGGTGGGCAGCCGCCGCGTGGAGGACCTGGTGGACCCGCGCATCGCCGCGCCGCCGCCGTCGCGGGTGCTCAACCGGGTGCTCCTGGTCTGCCTCCGCTGCATCGACGCCGACGCGCACAAGCGGCCCAAGATGGGGCAGATCGTGCACATGCTCGAGGGCGACGAGTTCCCCTTCCGCATGGTATGTTCTATTCGCTAGCCGGTCGCTGGCTAGCAGTAGTGCTTGCGCACGGCATTGGTGGGTATTGACTGACACACGCCCGCCCGTATTTGGTTTTGCTTTTGCGTGATGCAGGAGCACCGCTCGCCGCGGGCGACTCACCGGACGTCGACGGGCTCGCGGCCGTCGCTTCTGTCGGAGAACGTCGGTGCCACCGACGACTCGGACAAGTCGATGCGGAGATGAAGGATCCACGGTTCGCTTCATCGTATAAGCCACGCTTATCAGCCATGATACAGTATTTTTCTCTCGTAACAAAACAGTATCAGTCGGCTTATACGTCCCGTTCGTTTGAGCTGGTTTGGCTTATAAACCATGACTGAAAGTACTATTAGCTGGTTTGGTGTAAAAGAAAAATACTATTTATTAGCTGATAAGCCATGTCTTATAAGCTAGATACGAGCAAACGATCGGGCTCTAAGATGCGAACAGGGCGCCGAGCTGCAAGCAACACCGGGCGCGGCGTGCGAGGAGCTGGAGCTGGGGCTGGACTGACTTTTTGTAAATTTTTGTTGTCGATTCACGGCGGGATGAGCGTTCTAATTTGCTATGCTGCTCGTTTGGCTTGATGGTGTTTACCGTAATGTAAGATTTGGCACAGCCGCGCATATGTTTTTTTGTTGTTCATTATTACTAGGCTTCCGGATGTGGGCACCCCGCGAAGCTTTCTTCGACGACGGGCCCGCCCCCTTAGCCACATGCTCACAGTGCGTCCGGGACGACGGGAGATCCCGGTGAAGAGATCGAACAACAGTGATTTAGGGGCGAAAGGGAAGACGGAAGGTGTATTTGTTTGGTTTAGGTCAGCTTTGGTACGGATACTGTGCACTTAAATATACACTATATATAAATACATAATAAAAATAATATATTTATAAAAACTAAAATATCTTAAGAATGGAGGGACTAGCTCCCTATTGTCTAGCGAAACAGACATGCTGATAGAATAGTGGTGAGGTACAAAGGGACCCCGAAGTTCAAGATTAGGGTTGAATTAGAAAAACTATTTATCAAAAGCTACACAAGTGTCTATCTAGATACGCACTATGGTTTTGCTAAGACTGACTCCAACAGAGCTATCCTAACCTAAAAATGAGTCTCGCACAATACTTTGCTTATCAAATACCGGCTCCAATGGGTGACCCAACCACACGACGCATTTTGCCTGCCAGCTCAAACGAAACGCAAAAAAGCATCGCCTCTCTCCTCGCTACGCAAATCTCCGAGCGAAGTCTGCTGCACCTTCTTCTCCGCGCGCGACCTCCACCGGCACGCACGTGAACACGCAGGAGCCTCCGCCGTCAAGGACGAGCACTGGCCTTCACGAGCACGCAGGAGCACGCAACCTCCGCCGGCTAGCACGAGCACGCTGGCAAGCACTAGCAGCAGACGAGCAACGGCGGGCAAGCACAAGCACACCGGCCTTCACGCGCACGCCGGCAAGCACGAGCATGAGCACACCGGCAAGCACGAGCACGAGCAAGCTGGCAAGCACGACCTCCATCGGCCTTCTTCTCCAGCTCGCAGGAGCCCGAATCGAGCCTTCCGGCGCCCGAATCGAGCTTCCCCACCTCCGAATCAACTTTCCCCACCGCCGAATCGAGCTTCCCCGTCCCCAAATCGAGCTCGTCGTGCGGTCCGCCGCCACCTTCCTCCTCTGGCTCCACCGCGACGTTCCTGCGCCCAGGCAGGGACCTGGCCGGGAGGTACGTGACGTGGGGGTGGTGGAGGCGCCCGTGTGGGAGGCCGTGGCGTGGGTGAACGTCGAGGCCGCGGCGGGCGAGGTAGGCAGCTCGGCGGCGTCCTCGGCCATGCGGTCGTCCTCCGCTTCGGGATGGGCTCTGCTTTTGCGTCGCTGTTGGAGAGGGCTACGTTATGGGTGCGGTACCTTTGCCTGTGCATAACCCAAAACCGAGAATGGGTGTCGTATTTAGGTCTCCCTTGTTGGAGACAGTCTACGTATTGTTTCGCTAACGGAGAAAGAGTTGTACCCTATAAGGAGTTTTTAGACTTGTCCAAGCTTTGGCCATCAACATTGGTGTGCTAATTCTTTGACAATAAACCAATTGGTGGCTAAAATGTTTGGCATGCCGTGATTTTGGTTGGACTATCGGAAGTAAGATGTCTTTCTCTTCAGCCTAATGTTGGACAGCCTTCTAAGCTCCTATGCTTCCTGAGCTCCATTTCTTTACATCTTTTCATCTAAACTTCTTTCACACATGGTTTCTTGGACTCGTTTGTCTTCTAGGTCTTTCAAAGCAGCACGTTGACCTTTTTTCCTTTGGTTGCTGATCAGCGTAGCCTTGTCCAAGTCCATCCTTGCATTAATATGACTAAAACTTTGTATATTAGTAAATAATATTAGTTCAATTAATTATATTACCATCAATCACCAAAATCACTTAATGGCTAGACTAGATTTTTGTTACACCAAGATTCAACCGGAAGGTCCAAACATGATTTGAATTTTTAGCAGGAGGGGATCCAGCCTAACATTCCATTGATCGGGCCTGTCATTTGGTTGGTCTTGGTCTTTATTTATTTGGTTGGTTTTTGAGAGGAAAAACATTGTTAGTTAGGCTGGTAGTTATTTTGAAAACAAATGTTTAACAGTATTGTCACCTCTACTACACCATAGATTAACTTCACATATTAGGATCAATTTGCAATAGAAATCAGAGAAAATCAATGAATAGGGCTTGCTCCGCCCCTGATTTTTAGGCTCCTCAAAGTCGGGGTGGGTATTCATTGTCTTCCATTTCCTATTAGGAATCTCATGTGAATTGTTATGTCGGGGCGGGTAATCTGCACCCTATTGGTTTGGGCTTATTTGGCTTATAAACCGTATTTTTTCAATGACGAATAATCACCTCTACACTAAATCACCATAGATTTAACTTCAAACTTCTTCCTTTTTCTTCCTTTTCCTATTAGGAATCTCAGGATCAATTTGCAAAAAAATAATTGAAATCAGAGTTTTCAATGAATAAAGGGAAGTATATTTGTTGGATTCCCCGACAAATATGCTCTTTGGTACAGTTACATTGATTTTACTCCTCTAGGCTCCTCAAAGTCTGGGCATACACGTGGTATTCATTGTCTTCCTCCTCTATTGGAAGGATCACTCCATTATGCATACACGAATCTCATGTGAATTAGTTGATGTCAGGACGGAAGTAATCTGCAAAAAACAAGATTGGTAGTGATTTTGGTTTGGGCTCTATTTGGAAGAGACACTACTGAAGAACTTAAATTACTATTATATAGAAATATAAATTTTAGTCAAAAGAATAAATTAATTTAAAGATATAAATATTAATACTATTTACTATAAATTTTGTCAAACTTGAACTACTTTGACCGGCAGGATCCTATAATTACATTCTTTTCTGATCCTATAATTATATTTTTTTTTTGTGAACGGAGGAATACTGAAGAGGCATCGTTGGCTTCAATAACAATTTTGAACTTATAGCCTACTTGACTTGAATCACCTTAGATGTAGATTATTAAAGTTAAAAACTAGAATACAAATAGAATCACAATAATATCAAACATGTATTATAATTATCTTAGAATCTAAATCTAAATTTCTTTATTTATTCAAATCTGTTGTGGATCACAAAAATACGGACTACAGGATCTTGGTGGAATCGAACCACCTTCCATTCAGGACTGTGATGAACAGTCACATAGGACCTCACCTTGTTGAGACAAGATCCACAATTAGGAGACAAGACGGGACTCAAAGCGTGTTACATTTGAACGCTGATGATCAAAATCTAACCATTTTTAATTTTTATTTATTTATTTTAAATAAAACGAAATTATGCTTTGTCGAATACGAAATTAAATTACACAAGCGATTTTCTACGCGCCTTGATGGACAGTATGAATAACAAATGGCTGCAAACATTAATATCCAGAATGCAACAAGACAACTAAGAAACCAGTAAAAATTGAGTTGCTAATAATCATAAATACCTTCGTACAACAACCAAAACTTTCTGTTCCATGTAGTGAAGCCTCCAAAAAGAAATTTGCATACAATGGCTCCAGCCTAACAATAATGAAACAGTAGACCCCCTGAATTGGGAGAACCATCGCAAGAGACGAACTCTGATTCATTTGTCGCCACTCGCCAGAGTGAACTCCGACCGAATCGGTAGGTATCCTCCAGTACCAATCCTGCTCAAAGTCATTTACCACGGAGAATTATCATGTTACAATCTACAACCTATCCAAACAACACATTTTTAATTTCCAGATAAGACATTTGTACTTCTCTAGATACATCTCTTTATGTCAAACTAAATGCACAGCAAAATCTGAAAATTCAAACTCTATTAATAACATCTTTTAATTTGAAACGAATAGTATTAAAAGACTTAACGAGAAATGTTCAGCTAAAGAAAAAACTAACCTATAGAAAATTGGGAAAAAAAACTTAAGAAAATTTTCTACTAAAGAGTATACTCACATATAAATATTAGCTTCGGTGCAAAGAATTGAACACAAAAGAAAAAAAAAGCACAAAAAATATTTTAGAACATAAGACAAGACGCTCAAACTACAGCAAAGCATCATGTCCTGGAAAATAGAGAAAACAACATATCTTCCATTCGTAGCATATTATTTAGCAGAATAATTTCTCATCCCTTCTGCCTTTGCTCGGCTGTGCTACTCCACCTGCCGCTGCTAGTTTTCTTCAGGGTATGAAGAGTAACAGGAGTGGTGGCTGCAGCAGCAGCGGCGATCAATTCCGAGCAGGCTATCAAAGATTTGTCACATCATAGTTGCAAAGAAGAACGAATCACTTCAGCAAGAAAGGATCCCATTGGTACCACTACATGGGGCTATTATACCTTCGAAACAATCAAATTGGCTTTCACTTATACAAAAGCTAGCTTCAGCTCTCCGAGAGATAATCAAATGGCTTTCACCAATACTTAAAACCTAGCTTCAGCTCAAGAGGGATCAACAATGCATCAGAACCATTGAGTACTGAAATGAACTAATATCGTGCAAGTTCAGTAAGCTCCTAGTGAGATAGGATCTACTAAGTGTGCTTGAGCAGAGCAGTTCTCCCTGTCCAGTGACCAAGAAAGAAAGCTTGGAAGACCATAGCAATTTCATACCAAAAATGTATACCGAGCAGTTGACCTTCACATCATATGAATACTCCGTCGCCACCATGTAGGCACTGCAGTTGATGTTGATCTTCGTATACATCATCACCATGATTGAGCAGCTGATCTTCATATGGGCACAGCAGTAGGCCTTCATGCAGCTTTTATCGGACAACAATAAATCATACAAGCCAATTACAATCAAACGACTGCAACCAGGCATCTTGCATTCACCAGTACATTAAATAGGTACACAGCTAATCTTTATCTATGATACAATGTATTAACTTGACAAATAACCAAGAAACAAAGAACAATCTTTCATAATGCCTTGTGACACGTTCTTATAAATGATAATGAAAGAATAATAGAAGCAGACAAGTCCACATGAACAGCCATAGAACATTATACAAATCAACTAGCGAATAATTTTGCCATAGGACATTAGACAAATCAACTAGCGAATAATTCTGCCATAGGACATTAGACAAATCAACTAGGGCATAATTATCGGTTTGGGGAATTGCCCAAATTTTGAGACATCAGAGTTTGCCTAAACAGATAATGGATACTTCATGACTAATTTCATTTATACTTGGATCTCTATATTTCAGATGCTATCCCCAAATTTATGCAGTTAAATGTTTATCGTCGTCAATGGTCCATAGGCTGACACCTCCCGCATGTGCTAGTGCTGTGTTAATTCTTTTTATGGCGTTATGGGTGAGCAGCGTCGGATGAATGAAAAGATGGAGCAGTGTAGTCGTGTAAAGTTTGAACGATTGATGATGATTTCAGTAACTTTGGGCGGTTGTACATACATGGATTTAAATTCTAAATAGCAGCTGTAAATTGAAAATTTAGATCCAGTTGTACAGTTGTACCTTGGTGTTGCGCTGTAGCTCCATTCAATTTGCAGCGCGCCGTGATGATGATGCGTAAGACGAGGCCAACAACATGAAGCAGGGCACAGGGACACAAAGGGCGGGGAGAACCCAGGATGAAAAACAACTCCCTGTGCGATCTCCCACCCAGCACACGAAACCAACATCTTTATTATGGCGGCCTGCCATGCGAGCGCACCCATCATGGCAAAGGCCTTCAAGATGTCACATCTCACTTTTTTCACATGTTTTTTTCTCTCTAGTATCTTTTTTCCCCTCAATTTATTACTCGACACACGCAACTCAGGCGTTACATGTGTTTACCTTACCTTGCCTTCAGCTAGGCACGGATAGCTCCGACCAACATCTCTCAGATCTAATAATTATCGAAATTTCATCCAATAATTATCAATACAAAGAGATTTCATCGAGAGGCGCGGTGCAGAAGAGAGATCCAGGAATCCAGCCACGCTTCAGAAGCCCTTCGACGCCTCCGGTCGTCCCAGTCCGCCAACAACATCGAGATCCAGATCTCGCCGGAAAGTCCCAGCTCTGAAGGCCGGCAGACAGCAATTCGACGGATCAGGCACCAATAGCAACAAATTGAAGCACCCAGTTTCCTCGGTAAAAGACTAACCAACACCAGATCCAACGCGCCAAACACGCAGATCAGAAGCCTCCGAGTACGAAAGCCATGCAGCCTCGTCTCGCTTCAAGCCGTCAACTCATCAATGGAACCAACCAGATCTGAACCTGCACATCATCACAAAAACAAAACAACGCGTTTCCAACAAACAAATAACAGAGCGAGATTCACCGTTGCTCGATCGGACCGAGCATCCGATCCGAAAACAACACGACACGGGTAGGCATAGAGAAAGGAAAGAAGTTCAGGCTCAGATCAAGACCAGAACAGGATTTCATCAGGCGACGCAAGTTCAGGCTCAGATCAAGACCAGAAGAGGATTTCATCAGGCGAGGGGAACGCGGCGACTTTTCTTCTAGACCAAGGCAGGGGAGACCGAGGAGGGTAGGCAAACAAGGCTAGGGTTAGCGGGTGCAGGAGGGTTAGCAGAGGAATCCAACGTATTTATTGTCCGGTTAGCGGAATCCGACGGTGGCGATGAGGCGGTTCGAGTCGGACGGTCAGGATGCCGAGCGCGTGTCGGAAGATGATTGGCGGTGCCACGTCAATTGCGTGGGCTGGCCGCAACATGCGGAGAATTAGCGTCACTGCATGCGTCATTGTTTTCGCAGGATCTGTTGCGGACGGAAATAGAGGTGGTTCGCTTGTGGCCACCGTGGTCGACGATCCTCATTGGTTGGTTCGTAGTGATTGCTGTATTGACCTTTTTTTAGAAGGGTTGGTTTTTTTTAGCAGGGTTTGCTGGGCTTGCTGCCGGTGCAACTTCAGGCTGCGCCATTTGGGCTTCCAGTTACGAGCCGTTGCGCCATTAAGAGCCCATCGCTTTGCCCGTGGGCTATGGCCGTGGCCCGTGGCCCGTGGCCGAGCTGTGCAGTGACATTCCCTATTTGCGGCACCCCGTGGGTGTCATGGATTGCAGAACGGCCCGTTAGAGCATAGTCTTTTTAAACTCACTCTATAGATCTTCTGGAGAGTCATTTAAATAAAATAGTTTTTTATATCTTTGTACTATTTAACATATTTTGAATTTTGTACACACTCTCGAGAGTCAGTCTTGTCTTTATTTTTGGCTAGCAAGAAATTTGGAATAGAGGATAGCTATATTTAAATATCAAATTTAAAAAGTTGTTGGAGGATATTTTTTAAACAATAAGCTATATTCCTTACAATCAGGAAAGATATACACAATCTCTTAAAGTTGTTCTTAAGGACGTACTCCTTGCTTGATGATTAACTCCTCTTCTGTTCCTACTAAGAAGAGTATGCTCTCGTGCATATGACTATTGGAATGTGCGCCGGTGATGGTATATATAGGCCCTGTTTGGATCCAATGCTAAAATTTTAGCCCTACACTTTTAACCCTTTTTTTGCCATGTGTCGGTGTTTCGAGTTACCACCGACGAGTAAATTTTTAGTATTACGCGTCTGTCTCGGATGGTGTGCTTAGAGAACACGGGGTTTATACTGGTTCGGACAGAAAGTCCCTACATCCAGTTCGTCGTTGCAGCTCGTGTTACTAGCACTGAAAGTTTATAGTAGGGGTTACAAACGGGCGAGAGAGGGAAATAATCCCAAGTCTCCGGTGGAAGGAGTGAGTGGGTGCTGAGAACTCGATCGCTGCTCAGCCGTGTGTTCGTGTCGTGTTCTTGTGTGTTTATCTCGTGTTTCGATTTCGTGCGGATCTCGATTGATCGGTCCCTTTTATGGGGCCCCGCTTTTCCTTTTATAAGCCAAGGAAAGCACGTCTTATAGCGGAGGGAAAGGAGAAGAGCGAAAGAGAGAAAGGCTTCCAGGATCGCCGGGTCCTTCTCCTTCACGCGGGTCCCGTCGACCCTATAGATGTCAACAGGGATGGCTCCACGTCGCAACCCTGTCCGTCACTGGCGCCATGCGCAGGCGTCATCTGCCGGCCATGGCGCTCCATTCCGTCCTGGCGGACGTCGTGGTGAACTAACGCGCTTGTCATCGTTCGTACGAGGGTTACGCAGAGCAGCACCGGCATGCTCGACGCTGTTTTTGATGTGAACCCTCAGGTTTGGCCCGTCATGGCCACTTGTTACGTCGGAGCGTGTCGGTCTCTTCCTTGGTGTGAGAGTTTTGACCTAGGCCCATACGCCTGAACCTGAAGTGGTTGGCGGCGGTACCCCGTCGAGCGAGACGGATCCCAAACCCGAGGGGTCGGGCGAGGCGGAGCGCAAACCCAAGGGTCGGACGAGGTGGAGCCCGCACTCGAGGGGTCGGGCGAGGCGGAGCGCAAACCCAAGGGTCGGATGAGGCGGAGCCCGCGACCTCGGGGTCGGGCGAGGCGGAGCCCGCGTGCCTGGGGGTTGGTCGGAGCTGTAGTCGCGCTCTTGACTATTCGGATGAATCAATGTTGATGGCCATTAGCTCCTCCTCTCTCGGGTACCATAGTATTGGTCCCCGACACCATGGGGATCCAAACAGAAGGCTAAAAGTGAGAAAATGACTAAAAATTAGGCTAAAATCTTTTGCTCCCAATGAGGCCCTAAATTAGGCTAAACTTCCTCGGGGCACGGGCCTGGACACCCCATACCCCTTGCCACTCGTATGCATGGCTGTGCATAGATAATTAAATGAGGGTAAATCAGTCATTGTAGATTATAGGACTAAAGTTTAGCCAATGGATCCAAACAACCTAGTTTAACTAAAGTTTAGGGGCTAGATTTTGTCCTTGGACTAGTGATCCAAACACCACTATAGTAACTTGCATGAAGCACTTGCCTTTAAAGCAAGAAAAAAAGTACCTGTTGGACATCCACTAGCCTTTTTTTTTTGAATTATCCACTAGCCTATATATCTCTATTATTACTTGACGTGGGCTATGGGCCGGCCTTATTACAACACTACTGAGTACCTAGCCCCAAACACTTTTTGGACCATCATCCTCTTTGCTCTGTCTATACATCCTTCTATCTTGTTTTTAATATATCATCACAATCTACATACACACGAACCACAACCCTCAAAATGCAACGAAAATTTGTACTGCCTCTCAGCCTCTGTACCCGTACCGCTACATTGTGCTCTCGGTCAAAACGCTACGATGCCCTTGGTCGTCGGCGATCCGCTGGACCCTGATCGGGAGGCCCTTGGGGAAGTCGACAAAGGGGTAGACGAAGGCCTGGTCCGGCTCCGCCATCTCCCACCGGAAGTTGAGCACCAGGTGGTGCAGGAAGATGGCGATCTCCAGCTTGGCCAGCTCCGACCCGGCGCACAGCCGCGGCCCGCCGCCGTACGGCATGAAGCTGCTCGGCGCGTTGCTCTGCAACAACAGCAGCAGCAGCAAGATTAAACATGGTGAGGAGGAGAAAAAGAGAGCAGCTTCTAGAGAGATCGACACGACGGGCTCATCGTCATCAGTGGAAGGAGATGGATCGTTGCTGCCACGACCACGATCGCCACTGACATTCACAGCGACGCCGACCGTCGTCGGAACCTACTACCTACGTGCGCGTCGGAACATACATTTCCATCAACGGTTTGCGACGGGATAAGAAAAAGACGTATGCGTTGGCGACGGATGGAATGGATGGATTCAGAGCAGAGCACTCGCACTCGCCTGCCTGGATTCCAAGCACCCAATAACGTGGCGTTCGTTTTCAGTTTGGACCATGCCCTTGGAGTCCCTCATTCGGCATGAACCCAGCCGCCCCCGCCTCCCGTCGGAGGAAGGCCGGCTGCAGCTGGCAAAATTAGGACGTCTCTTTCGATCTGACCACGCGAGATCGAGCACACGTGCGCGCGCCGAACATTCCCTTTCACGTCAGCTCCATGCCATGCCGCCCCTCTCATCGATAATCGAGGGCGCTTTGGCCGGATACTCTTCACTCTTCAGAGGTGGCATGGCACATGCATCCCATGCCGCTCCTTTTTCAGATCAGATTCTAGCGACTAAGACGTGAATGTTAGAGTAGGATTCGCTCGACTACATGGAGCCCGAGACCGTACTGTCATGCTCATTGCTCGGATATTTTCTTTTCGATCGGTGATCGACGTTCATCGACATCTACTATAAGTTCATGATCATGATGAATTTACGTTGCAGAGCTAGCTGGCACTGACCTTCCATCTCCAAGGGTTGAACCGGTTGGGGTCCTCGTACAACGACGAATCCAGATGCACCGCCGCTAACACCGGCAGGATTTTCCACCCCCGTGGTATGTCGTACCCTTCATTTTGACAGAGCGAGACAACATGCATGCAAGCTCAGTACATCATGTCGTTTTCTGAATGTGTGTGATCGAGGATTCAGAAATAAATCGCGAGCTTAGGCTTCTAGATTAAAGTTACCATTGTAGTGCACATCTCGGATGACCTTCCGGTGCAGGAACCTGACCACGTTCCCAAGCCGCAATGTCTCGTTTATAACCTGCACGACACACAAAGGAACTGTTATGTTAAAAGGAAAAGAAAGAAGAAGGTCCATTTTCTACGGTTTTCGAGTGCTTCTAGCAGCTGTCTGACGAGGCATTTGACATCTAATAGTTTGTCTTAAGGCTCGGGACGAGCTTTCAGCATCTTATTTAGAGTTCTGTTTTGTTTAGACCTGATGAGACCTGACCAAGTGACACCCCTCAGTTGATTATTAGCTCGAGTGATGTTTGACACGGGTTCAGCTTTGTCCCGTTTGAACAGCAAGATACGGCACAGATACCTTCCTGTCGTATTATTGCTACACAAGAACAATGTGTACTTCTCAGCGTATCTGGATTGTTGCGAGATGATGGGGCTGCCACCACTCCAAAATCTTCCAAAACTAACAAAAAAAATATGAAGAACTCCGCTGGGAGATCAGAGCAAGCAGACGCCATGCGCTCCAAAAGCAGCCAGCCAGCCCAATTATTCTGCACACCTTAGGTCTCCGTTGGTTCGAACATGACATTTCGAGAGGAGAAGTTGCTATCCTGTACCACGCAACCAGACGAGACGGTTTTGTGCTGGTACGACTTGGACGGGAGCAGCGCCCAAGTAGCAAACAGCGGAGCGTACAGCGATCTCGCACTAGCACTGCTATGGAAGGAACGAACAGAACAGTGGGGGGGGGGGCCTTACACATTGCGTGAAAACCATTTCCTTGTAGTCTTCCCAGCTCAATTTGGACGCCCCTCTTTGCCTTTGTCTCCTAGCAATCTCCAGATGCTCCTCCTGCAAACCATATGCCATAATAATATAGTTTTTGTTTTTGACCAACATCTAGCCTACTGTACAAAGTTTGAAAATGACTAGTGAAAGTAGATGCTATATATAATAAATTGTTGGTTCGAATTTAATTCGTACCCGGAGTTCTTGAACAGCCTTAGGGCATCCTTCAAGGAAGAAGATGGCGAGGGCCAGCGCCATTGACGAAGTCTCGTGCCCCGCGAAGAGCAGGCTCAGCAAGAGGTCCAGGATCTGTTCCTTTGACAGATTGGACTGCTTCAGGGCCCATCCAAGAAGATCATCTTCCTCCACACTCGAGTTCTCCTTGCTCATTTTCTCAAGCCTGTCCTCCATCTTCCTCTCTATTACTCCAAGTATTGACGCGCGTGACTACAAAAAAAAAGAAAAATCCCGGCAATTGTATGACGATGTGATTTTGAGATCAACAAAGCAAAACTTTCTTTTAGTGCAAAGTCCTCTCAAATATCGGAGATCGGTACTATATTTAGGTGTGTTGCCTAACTGCCTATTGGTCTAGGGCCATGTCTTCTCGCTCGTAGCTGTGTCTGTTTTTGAGAAAATTGTGTCCTCTCATTCAGAAGTAGAATGACATGTAACTACCTTCAAATATGGATAGAGGGGGTTCAGTACCATTTTCTCTTCTCTCTTGTGTTCATCCATCTAATCTAATTAATATAAAACAGAATCAAGAAAGTTTTATTTGATTTTTCAGGTATGGATTGGAGGATGCATGGGAATAATGATTGGCTTCAGCTAACAAAAAACAGCCTTTGCTATTTCATTGGCTGCTAATAAGTGCATGCAAATTATGAAGCTGCTAATCACCAGCTTATTAACAATGTCAAGTATTAGTGTTGGTCAGCAGTTGAATCATGATAAATGATGGGGCTCTCCCAACACATAATCATGTTAAGTTATGGAGACTTGATCATTGATTTTCTCATCAATAGTCTACAAACTCCCTAAAAAAAGAGTTAAAACTCCCCACATGGCATGGAAATGTATGATGCAAAGATCCTGTGAATAAAGCAAAGCATGCATGCCGCGGCTGGGAGCAATCACTAAAGTTCATTTGAGGGTGACCTCACAGGGACTGAAAAGTGTGCAACATTTTTATGGGGCCATGAGTGATGTGGGGAGAAAGTATATATGGTATATATAGCTAGGGAAAATAAAGAAAACAACCTGCAAATTAAGCAAGCCTTTGATCTGCTAAATCTAGCTGTCAGCTATGTAGTTAGGTGCTTGCATGCATAACCTTCAAAAGAACTTCACCCAGGCAGCATGTGGCTATTTGCTAATGCGTGTAGATAGAAATTAAAAAGGCTAACCTGTACTGTGTTCTAAACTGTTTTTTTTTTCATTGTGTGGATGCATAAATCCACTGTACATACAGAAAAAAAAACACATGCTGATTGCTGAGGAGGTATGTATGTATCCAAGTGCCTGTAGCAGGAAAGAGATGATCCACTGGTCTCTGATTGGACCTGACGCAGTAGGACGTGTGCATATAACAACACAGGATCCTTGGACATCCACAAATCTGAAACCCACACTGCTAGCTCCTGCCCCTGCCGTGCCATGTAGTATATCAATGTGTCCCGGCCCTCTTCTACGATCCTCCGTCAAAACTTTATGCCATGTCTCATTAATATTTGGACACATAGAGTATTAAATATAGATTTAAAAAATAACTAATTATCAGATTATGACTACTTTATGAGACAAATCTTTTAAGCCTAATTAGTCCATGATTTGATAATAAAGTTGTCGATGCGAAAAGTGACCAACAAGTAAATATTTGTAGTTTTATCGTGCGTTGTGATCGGATGTGGCCTAGCACTCAATAACACGGGATTTATACTAGTTCAGGCAACGTGGCCTACGTCCAGTTTCGGTCGGTCGGTGACTTTATTCCTGAGTCCAGTGCCGAAGTTTGTTGTGGGGATACAAACGAATGTGAATAAGAAAGGGATGTTAAAGGTCCGGTCGGGCTCTTAACCGAAGGGCCGAGAGTGACGGGAGCTCTAACGTGCGCTAAGTATTGGAGCATATGCTCTGTGTAGCTTTAGAGTTCTAGAGCTGTGGAGCTGTTCGAATGCTCAGATTGTATAGAGCCAGCCAGAGAGAGTCTGAACGACCGTCCCTGTTGGGAGAGAGTGCATCCCCTTTTATAGGTGAAGGGGATGACCTTACAAGTTAGACAGAAGAGAGAGAGAGAGTGTGTGTGTATATGTTACCTAGTCTTGTTGCTCATGCCATCGGGCACGAGAAGATTGTCGGCGCCCACAATACTGTTCATGCCCAGACGCGAATAACAGGTTTTACCGTGTTCGCCTGGTATGGTAAATGTCGGCGCCTACAATACTGTAAGGCAAATGTTGGCGGCAACAACACTGTTTGGGTTCTAACACCCCTAGAAGGTTGCATAGTACCCATCTGGCATGGCCTGGTGGCACTATCCTGTAGGTGTGCAGGGTACGGTCCTCGGTATTACGGTTGACTTAAGCACCTTACCTTATCTGCTCCGTCTGATCCTTGGGTCCTTACCGAGCGAGAATCCCCGGTCGGTCGTTCCCAGCCGGCTCCGACCGTGTCGGTCGGGGAAGAATCACGAGCAGAGGTCTGACGTATATCAGGCGAAAAAGAAGGTCAGAGTCGGACTGTGTCCCTTCCTTAGCTAGGCCTTCCGGTCGGGGATCGAGCCGTTGCCCTGGCCTGTCATTATGTATCTAGGCCGGCCCAGGAAGCGCGCATTGTTGCTACGCCATCCTGCTGGACCGAGTTTTTACAGAGAAGCGGGTCCATTGGGGACCCTGGGTTTATGATCCCGATAGGAGCCCCCGAGCCCTTTTGGGACTTCTATGAAGTAGTAAAGGGGCCGTTTATACTCGTTTTACGAGCGCACCCGGTGGTTGTGAGATTGTGGGTCTCCGTCGGATGAGACAGAGCGCGAACCCAAGCGTCGGGCGCGGCCAATGGGTCGAGCGAGGCGGAGTCTCTAACCCAAGTGTCGGACGCGGCCGAGGGGTCGGGTGAGGCGGAGCGCCAACTCAAAGTGTCGGGTGCCAACCCGTCGCGCCGGGCCAGAGGTCGAGCGCGAGGCGGGCGCCAACCCGGTGTCGTGCCAACCTGCTGCGTCGGCGCGAGAAAGTCGTGAGGCGAGCGCCAACCTAAAGTGTCGGTGCCAACCCAAGCGTCGGGCGTGGCCGAGGGGTCGGTGCGGTGGAGCGCCAACCCGAAGTGTTGGGTGCCAACCCGAGTGTCGGGCACGGCCGAGGGATCGGGTGAGGCGGAGTGCCAACCCGAAGTGTCGGGTGCCAACCCAAGCGTCGGGCGTGGCCGAGGGGTCGGGCGAGGCGGAGCGCCAACCCGAAGTGTCAGGTGCCAACCCAAGCGTCGGGCGTGGCCGAGGGGTCGGGCGAGGCGGAGCGCCAACCCAAAGTGTCGGGTGCCAACCCAAGCGTCGGGCATGGCCGAGGGGTCAGTCTAGTTTCATGTGTTACCCCGTCCACGGTTTCCACAACCAGAGGGGTTGAGCTAACGTCGCTTGCCTCGATGGCTCGAGCGACGCGCTCGGTGAGCTCAATAACGGGTACGTTCGAGTGGAATCCGGGTCCATCGTTCGTAACGAGGTCAACATAGCCCTCATATGGCATTCCACTGCTCCTTAACCCGCCTCTCGGCAGATGCTCGAGCCGTTTTGGAGACCGACTTAGGCGGCCCGTTGGCCTCCCTTCGATGGAGATTCTGTGGGCATGGCTCGAGGTTAGGATCGAACGAGAAGGTCGAGATGACCCTGTCCGCTTTGAAGCAGATTGGGCGAGGGCCGTTGGGGCTCATCTGCATTTTATCCCTTGGCTCTGTTTGACATGAGGCGGCCTCGAGCCCTTCGCTGGCAGGCCTTCGAACACCGGTCGGTCATCGCTCATATCGAATGAGGCGACTACCTCTTCATGACACAATGCGAAGCCTTGTGATGTAGCAATTGCATATGCGATGCTTGGATGTATGGGATGAATGTATGGATGAATGAATGATCATGCACCAGAAAACAAAAAAGGGGTTTTGGTAAAGTTACCTCGATGGTTCGAGTGACGGGTTCGGGGAGCTTTTTATCGGATATGTCCGAATGGAACCCAGGCCAGTCGTTCATGACGGAGTCGGCATAATCCGCATGGGGCATCCCACTGCTCCTTTCTTGTCTCTCGGTAGCCGCCCGAGCTGTCCTATCGACTCAGGTGACCCGTTGGTCTCTCCTCGATGGAGATCCCGTTGGTGGGCCCTTCCAAACCCTACCTGGGAAGGCAGATGGTCGTTTACATGCGGTTGCGCCTTGTTCCCCGTGCCGGGTTGTGGTAGTGGTGGGCCCTACCCAGGCCACGTCCCGTTTAACCAGGCGACGTTTTGTTGGGCAGGGCACGTCCCATTGGCCAGGACGCGTCCCACTGCATGCCTCCCCGTATTAAATAGGGGGAAGGGAGAGGGTTTTCCTCCCATTCTTTCGCCTTTCTCCAACTGCTGCCTCTTCTCATTCTTCCTTTTCGCCAAGCCCGTTCGTGCGGCGCGGTGGTTTCTAGGAGAGAGGGTAAAATGAGGGAGAGGAGAACTTACAGATCCATTCGTGAATCCGAGGCATGATGTCGAACTAGAGGCCTTCCACTGTGCACGAGGAGGTGCTGGCTGCCTTCACCGAGAAGGGGTTGCTCCTGTCGAAGGAGGTGGTGCGTTGGAGGGCTCCTGCACTAGGGGAAGTTGTTCTGCAACCCCGAGCCGATGAGGTCGTCTCCTTCCTCGCCTTCCATGAGCGCAGGCTTAGGTATCTCGCGCACTGGTTCCTGCGTGGGCTTCTCAACGAGTGGGGCCTAGAGCTGCAGCACCTTAACTCGACTAGGGTGCTGCACATCACCGGCTTCATCACCATCTATGAGGCCTTCCTTGGGATGGAGCCACACGTGGACCTCTTCTAGTGGATCTTTTACGGGTGAGCCCTGTCCGAGGGGAAGCCACCCAGAACCACACCAGTTGGGGGATTCGCCTTGCAGAAGAAGCCAAAGCCGTCGACCCCCTACCCTATGTACTCCCCCTGTGACTTCAATCGGGGGTGGCATGGTGAGTGGTTCTACATCAGGAACCCAGTGGAGGCGCCATTCCCATCATTCACCAGAAGAAGGCTAGAGAGGAGGGAAAGCTAGTCGTGGGGTCCTGCTGGTCGGTAGAACAAGTTGGAGGTTATCAAGGCGGAGCTTCATAAGCTTGTGCAGCATGGCCTCGATGGGTTGCAGGTCTTCCACACCTTCTTCCGCCGTCGGGTCACTCCATTGGCGGAAAGAACGCGACCGATGTGGGAATACATCGACCCGATGGAT